CCAAGACCAAAGAAAAGACATAATTAAAAGTTCATGGCCTTGCAGTTTGACTGACTAGATTGTTATATATAAAATTTCAGCTGAAGGAAGAGGCCACCCAAGAACCCTACCTTTCTAATTATAATACTGGAAACAAAACAACCATAACAAACCCTTTTTAAGTATTCCTGCACAGGTATAAAGAAATGATGAACAATAGGCAACTGGCTGTTATACTCTGAGGAGAAAAGGAAAAGGAAGTGAAGAGAAGGGAAGGGAAAGGTAGAGAAAGGAAAAGAAAGGAGGATAAGACAGTATACCTCCATTAAGAATTGCATACTTTTAATGTTTGAGCCAAAAGGCAAAACAGAAAAAAACTTATTGTACCTTTAGGTTCATTCATTCATTCAAGAGAGTCAACAACCATGGTGTTCCCCACTATATCCCAAGCCCTTTTTCAGAACTGGGGGTACAAAGAGCAATGGTTAGGAGACAAGACAAGTAGACGATCACATAGCAACTATGAGAAGGGCTGGCTGCACACACACCTGACCAGTGGGTTAAGGGAAGCAACCAGCTCTGAAGGACCTTCAGGCAGAAAGGATGAATGAGGTCTCTCACCTAAATGGAGGATCATTCCAGGAAGTAGGAACAGGGTCCGCAAAGGGAAAGAATGGCAAAGGGCACAGGCATTTGGGGAATGGGAAGAAATTAGGGGCAAATAAAAGTGGAAATAAGAAGACAGATGTGCAATCAAATAAGATTTCCTAAGGCTCATTTGTGCAGCGTCCATGAGCAGATTAGCAATATTGAAGACAGAGGCTGGGCCACAAAATACCTCTAGCATGACATTAACCCATCTTAGACCCTGAGTGTGCCTATATGTATTAAAGGATGCTGTTAGTCAAGGAACAACCTTTTTACCCAGGTGATGGTCCCTTCAATAGGGATCCCAGGTCCCTAAGAATAAAGAAAGACAGAAGAACACAATTGGGAAGTGGAGTCTGGTTGACCCAAGTTCAAATCTGAGATCACCTCCTAGTTGGGTAACCTGAGGTAAGTTAACTTCACCAAGGTTCAGTTTCCTCTTAAGTAAAAAATTAGGAACTAATACTTAATAAACAAGTTAGTATGAGGACAGGTAGGGAGGGGTCCAATATTTAGAGCCACCACCCAGACAAAACATGATAGTCCAATCACTTCCCATCCAAGCTGAACACTCTAGTCCAACTTGGCCAGGGCAATTCATTTAATGTCTCCTGCCTCAGTTTCCTCTATTGAATTTGGAAGTGGGACCTCCAAGCCTCTCACAGTCCTAACATTCTGTCCAGTTAGTGTAATTGTTCAGAGGGAGACTTCTTTCCAACCTCTATTCTTATACCTTTTGGTGCCCCCTCTTCCACTCTAAATCTTTTAAAATTCATGGTGCCAGAACCTTCTAGTGTCTGCTTTTTGGATTTTTTGACACTGGCTCTGTTGTCTCCCTCCACAAGATTTGTTGAAAAATGTCCACAGGCCAAGGGCTGTGTTAAGAATGATACAAGCTTTATCACGAAGTCTATACAAATGAGGATATCAAGGCTCAGAATATTAAGCAATTTATCAAGGGCATGGAATTTAATGCTGGCTCTTCCCAGCTGCTCCTGATCATTATATGTTACACCATCTTTCCATCCTCTTAGCTGTCTCTAGTTTGAGTTCTATCTTCTTATGGCCCTGTGCTGTGCTAGCTTAGCCCATAAATTACTTTGTATTAATAACATTATGTGCTACACCTCCCAGATGACATATGTCCATATTAACCAGGACACATCATCTCTAAACCAACAGGGAACTCATGATGGGATTCTCAGGCCTTGCAGCTGATAGGTCAGGGTGAGATTCTAGGCATGCAGGACTTTAATACATCTCTCAAATAACAGAACATGATCGAACAGCTACTCCATTTCCACCTGAACCTGCCAGAAGCTACAGCATTTTAATTCAAGCCTAAGATCTACAAGCCCCCCAGCTGCCATAAGTGTGCTCATATCATAGACAGGTAAAGGAAGAGGGCTCATGCTTTGAGGTAAGATAACTCCAGGTTTACTAATCGAGTGCACTTCAGTGGATTTTTTAGCTCCTCTGAGCTACCTATCCTCTAGAAGATGATCTTGGGTAAGGTAACCCATCTGAGCTTCAGGTTCCTCATCTATAGAATTGGGATAACATTCACAACCTTAGAGGGATGTTGTAGGGATAGAAGAATGCTTGGCCTGTAGAAGAAACAGATGAGCCTATTGGGAGAATAAAGGAGCTTAGGGGTGGTCAGGTTGATTCCAAAATCAGAGTAGACTAGAGTAGAAAGACGGAAATCAGTAAAAGATTCATTAGACTCTAAATAGCTGCCGATCTGAGGACTCATGCTGGTTGAGAGTTGGATACCCTTTTGTGGCATACGCCCTAACTGATCTGATCCTTGATTTCATACTGCCAGGCCGCCTGGCAGCTGTTGCTGGAAGTATTTTTTTCAGGTAGAGAGGTTCCCAATTGAGCCAATGGGTAGAGTGTAATCACACACCGTCTCTCCCTCAGAGCACCATGAGGTTGCCGGGGTAACCGCACTATTCTGGGCCTTCCCTGTGGGATCTCAACTCCTCTATCCACATCCCAGCGGGCTCCCTTCTTTTGGCCTTACATTGGGCACCCCCAGCTGAAACCTCGCCCTCCTCCCTCAGAAGATCAGAGAGGAAATGGGAAGAGAAGGAACTCACCAGGCACTTGGATCTCCGCATTTTATTTCCTTATCATTTTATTTTCTTAGTTATGGCACATTTCCATTTATGAAGTACTTTCCCTTATAAAACATCTCACTGTTTACTTCCAACCTACTAAATAATTCCTCTGACCTATTCTTGTTTATACCCTTTAAATATCTGTTGATGGTTCATGCACCATATTCCCCATTCAGTTATTAATGGGCCACAAAAACTCACTAGCAGCAATCATTTACTGATTAATCTGCACAACAATCCAGAAGGACAGGTAGTATTAATCCTTAGTTCTGCAAAGGGAAACCAAGGAGAAAAGAGAGGTTAACTCCATTGGTCAAGGTCAGTGGCTAAACAAGATTATAACCAGGATCTATCTTGTCTTATATTTCTGTGAACACTTCCCACTGTGTTATTCCCTTTCTTCACAAATCAGTGTTGTCAATGCAGCCAGATCATTTCTGTGCTGAGGTTCAGTCATCACAGAACAGCTTAAAAATGTCAAAAATTCAACCCAAAATAATTTTGCCTGCTAGTAGCTCATAAATAAAAGTTGCTAAAATGAAGCGATGATAGTACTCAAAGGCAAATTTTAAAGGGGCAAAAGAAAAGTGAAAAGATGTGGATTACAGACCCAGCTTCTGTCACAAGGGGACTCTTAAGAAGAGTCACTTAACTTCTCTACACCTCTGAGTCAGCTGTAAAAAAGTAGATTACACTGAATGACAATCAAAGTATGTGGCTGCTTTAAAGATGATGATTGGATACCTATGAAACCAGCACAGAAAAACCCCTCCAATATCCAATGCTGCCAAGACTGTGGTAAAATTGGTATATTCATTCAGTTAATAGAGTGCACAGCTACAACTCCCATGGAAAGCAAGATGCCAACAGACGACAAAACCAGAGAGATTTTCATATCCCTGACTTAGTAATTTAACTCATACTGTATTTTAGCTTAAGAAATAAGTCAATGGAAGCAAAAAGACATATACAAACCAAATGCACATTTCAGTGTTAGCTATCAGAGGAAAACTGTTATCAATTGCAATGTTCATTTTAGAGGGATGTTTTAGTAAACAAAAGCATAGAATCATATGCATGTCATGTTGCTATTACAAAAGATAAACATGAAAATTAGGCAAAGTCATTTAAAACCTTACAGGTACTATTAAATGAAAATAACCAAAAGTAAAAGAACAGACATGTACTCTGATGTCAACCATATAAAATGTGAATTGGTGTGTAAGAGCATAGAAAAACTCAAAAAGAGTTATGTTATTAGTTATACTTATTAATTTTTTTAATGTTTTAACTATTTTTAATGAATAGTTTTCATTAACATATACACTTGCTCAATAATTTAAAAATTTATCTGACCCTACTTTAAAATTTCGACCTGGATTTCTGCATAGTTTTTGTCGGCTGACTTATTTATTCATGACATCATTTTTCCAGAGTGATTTTTTTCTTTCTACTATAATTCTTTACTATCTTTAGATATTTTAAAATCTCAGAATCCTTGCATTTTTTTCCCCTGCACCTAAATGGATTCTTACAAAAATCTGTCATCTAATCTAGCTATGAATAGCCAACCTCATGATTGCCTTGTAATGTTAATATTTGGCAATGCCTAACCCAGGAGTCAAGATGCTTCCGATAACCCTGACCAGTAACCATAAAGTTGCCATTACACTTTTCACAGTGCAAAGGGAGGTTTCATAGTTCAGGTTTTTGCAGCTGTACAGCAGGACATTTTTTTTATTTTCAGGGGTCTTATATACATACTCCTCTGGCTCTCTTAAGAAAGCTGCTCTTAGCTACACTGTGCTAGGACTTTCCCCTTCATAGGCTTTTATACGTTCCTTCTCTCCTTAGAAACATTCTCTTGCTAGTAGGTCATTTGTACATCTTTGCTCATGATATCTGGGAAAGATTGCAGAGCCAATGAATTAAAATATGATTCTAGGTCTCCTGTGTGCCAACGAATGCCCTCATTAAAACAGAATGAGTAGATGAGATCGGTTTCAAAGCTTTCCATCCCTCTGCCCCAGAGCCGCCAAGGCCAGGCTCTGAAAGGATGCACAGTAAAATTAAATATCTAAAAATTCATCTTTAATTAACAGAATTGGATTAAAGCTAGACACCACGGCATATCATACGAGAAATGGCTGAGCTGGCTTCCAAGTGCTCTAATTCAATTAGGACACAGTGAGTGACACTCGGACGGGAAAGGTTAATTGGGGGCGCCAGAACGCAATCATTCCTTACCTAACCAGTCATTAAACTTCTTAACCTCTGAGGGCAGTCCCAGCTCGGTGAAATCGCCTGTGTGGAGAAGGATGTCCCCATAAGGCATCTGGATACCATCTGTTCTGGAGTGTGTGTCTGAGATGCAGACAAACCGCGTGTGGCCCGCTGGTTTTGGAGTGTCATATGGGATGGGGTCGACCCTAAAGTAGACATAACAGATCCCGTAACAGTTAAATATATTAGAACCCTCGTAATTGTCATCACACATACATATCGACTGTTAGCCGTGAAACGCACCCAGACAAACTGATACAAAGGCAGAAGGGACCATTGTAACGAGGGGACACTTTTGAGTGCAAAGGAGATATAGCATCTCCCATCTACAATCCCAATGAGCACATTTAAAAAGTCTTACTTACCTGATTTGAAAATTAAAAAGAATATCTTACAGGCAGAGGTGGAATTAATCCAGGAAACTGATAGAGCGATTAATGGTGAAGGTTAGGGATACTGAACCCCAATTGGGGAAGCAAAATTATGCTGTTTTGTCTCTCCTCATGCTCCAATTGATCCCACTACTCATTAGGAATGAATAACTAATTTATTCCTTCTGAAACATGCATAAGTCAGGCAATGAACTAATTTACGAAGAACCCGGCACGTGCTTTGCCAACTGAGATACGGAGAGACATACTAGATAGTACTAATATTTAATATCCTTTCCAGAACCATTTGTATTTCCAAGAATCTTAGGATCTTCTTGTGTTTGCTAAGAGATTCTCAAATCAAATTGTGGGGAGGGAAGGTGATGCCAAAATAACAAAGCTTTTAAAAAAATGAAAAACAAACACGCAACATTCACTGGATGTTCAAAAACTTTGTCAGCTCCTTCTTTACCACAATGAATTATCTGCAGCCCCAGTAACACCTGAGGCTGCTTGGAATGCCTTGGGCAGAGATTCGATTCAGTACAAAGAGTAAGCCTTTTAATGAGTGTCTATAGATACACATAAGCATTAATATATGTATAGTTTTAGAGACCTAAGCACTGTGAAATTACACCAGGGCATAAGAATCAAAAGGCAAAATGATCAACCCGAAGCAAAGAAAATGAAACAGAACATTCTCATTTAATTGAGTGTAACAAAGTGTGCTAAATAAACTTGGTAAAGAAATGCAAATCTGGCTCTTCAAGCATACAGTTTTAATTATTTAAGGGGCTGGTAGCAGAGTTAAGGATGCTTTAACTATATTAACTCTACGCTGACAGCTTCCCTTAATTTCTCTGTAGGAATGCACACTTATTTTTGGATCATAGGTGAAGAGAAGCAGTTATAACTGTAAAGACAAGGTCACGAAAGAAGCAAACATGCAAAGCAGAGAATACCGTACGAAATGTTAAGTAAGGACCAATATTTCATATCCCAGCTCTACCCTTGACAGTTAATATGCGGCAGAGAACACACGGAAAGTCAACATCAGAATCCCTGTGCATCTTGCTTTGCAGGCTTGGTTTAATTTTCTTTCAATTTCCCACTTTTTCAAAAGAAAGAACCCATTTTAAAAAAGCAATTGTAGTGAGGGGAATAAAGACATTCGTATACATCCTCATTGGTCTTGCATTTTTTTTTCACAGTTTTACTTTTAATTTTATTTTATCTTTGACAGAGAAAAAGGAAAGTCAGAAAGAAGGAAGCTTGAAGAAGACAGAAAAAAGGAACGAGACAGGAAAGGACTGTGAATTGGTTAACACAGTGGATCTAACTGGAAACCCCAAAGGAAAGCTTTCTTTCTGGAACAAAAACAAAAACAAAAACAAAACAAAAAACTCACACACGAATAGATGTTTGTAAAGGTTAGAAATTAACAATGTTGTTACCATGGAGAAAAGCACTAACCCACAAAATTTTGTAAATAACCTGGAAATCCTCCAGATTGTATCCAATGTTGATTTTTTTTTTTTAATGTATGAAGAAGTTTGGTACCTTCTTTTCCATTACTGAGACTATTCCAATCAGTCCCATTGGCTATCATCTTATCACTACATCCTGTCTTCTAAAAGTAGTTCACTTAGAGAATGAATGATTGGGTTGTTCCTTGCTGCAGGAGACTGTGTCGCCCTCTGAAAGTGACAGGTAATATTCTATTCTATTCAACCTACAGTTAGGATGCTCACCGGATTGGGACCATGCACATTTCTATTCAGCCCTCCCACATCTGAATGAAAATTAAATAAATTAACCACTGGACTTTAAACACACGAATCAATTCAATATTATGTATGTCTTTATTTTCCAGTTCCCCTCAGTAACTCAGATAAGCTACGGGCACAAGTAGTGCATCGAAATCCTATAGGAGCCCATCTGAACTCATCAAAGGGATGTCACAGTCATCATTTTGAATGGATTACACAGAAGGTAGCACAGATACAAACTCTTCACTGTGAACAGGCCCCTGTTCTATGAATCTACTCAATTTAAAGAAGCAAATCATCATGTGGTACCTAATTTGTTTCCCAGCTTAGCTCTATATTGAGCAGTAACTTTCCAAGACTATTAGAACACCAATTATAGAATGGCTGCAACTTCCTTCCCCACATTGCCACCTCCTCCAGAGAAACTAGTAACTATCCAACAGATTGAACATAAAATAAAGGCCAAGGAATAGAAGGAAAAACAAAAAACAAAAACAGAAGGCGGAAAGTAGGGAGAAATGTCTTGTTATTGTTGAACTGAAATAAAGTGAGTCAGAAGTACACAGAAACAGTGGCAAAGAAGGCTCACCCATCACCACCACCAACTTGATGTCATCAAAGAGAAACCATTTGTAGGCACTTGGGAGAGATATGGAGGATTGATCTAGGTAGCGGACTCGGGGAGGGAGAGGCCTAAAGACACAAATATAGAATTTATATACATGCCCTGACCCAGAAACACCTTTGTTACCCACAAGACTAAGTACAAGACGACGAGGCAGTGCAGCCTGTCAGAGTCAGGCTGCAGGATAACATGACAAATGTCACCTGGGGGGTCATAGGAAGGAAGACATTCCCACCCAAAGACTTTCAGAGCTGCAAATAGAACATCTAGTACAGTAGGCAAGTTGCTGTGAATATAATTAAAGTCGAGACAACCTTAGGGAAGCTACTATTTCCAAGTTGGGCATTTGGTAAACACTTTGAAAAGTCCAAACAGACAAACATTTTCACTGTAAATGCGTGTCTAGGAGGGAGCCTGATGGCCATGCAACATTTGCCTATTTACGTTGTGTGAGACCCTCCTGCCACATTTCCCCTCCTATTTAACATCTTTACTGCTTACTGTTTATGCCACAGACTTCTCGAATGACCTAACATTTCCCCCAAGGCACCATGTCAAATATCCTAGCAAGTGATTCTCTTACCAAGGCAGTCTAACCCCTAGAGCCAGATTCAAATATCAGAATGAGATTTGCACGTACATCTGAGTACACCCAGGGGAAAACAAGATGACATGGGAAGATGAGAAGAAAACATGGCTTCATAAAATCACAGAGCTGGACAAAAATCTTAGAGGGCATTGGGTTCAATGCTTTATACAAAGCTTGAACACCCTTTCCCCATCCCCACCCCCCCTTCCTAACCGTCATAAATTTTCTTTCCAAGCTTTCCAGAAAAGGGGAGATACTGGGCCCTGTCCCCTCCCCCAGGGCAGCCCATTCTGGTTTTTGATAGCTCTGCTTGCTAGAAACTTTTGGATCCAGAGCCTGCACCTCTGAGAAAGCTGAGCACAGTCCAAAGAGACTTGGCCTGGAGCTCAAGGACTGAGTAACAACTTTGGCTGCGTTACTCACTTTGGACAAGTTATTTCATTCTTTTGGTCTTCATTTTTTTTCTCATTTGTAGGATGGGAATAATAATGCCTAACCTGCTAAATTGCTATGGGGATATAAATTGCCCAGCACTCTGTCCGTCACATAGCACGTGCTCAGAAAGGAGAGGTGCAGAATGATATAAGGGTAGAGCACGTTCAGCTACACAGCCAGACAGTGTGGCTCTGAATCCCACTCCGTATTTATCCACAGTGTGACACCAAGCAAGGTGCTTAACTTCTATGCCTTGGTTTCCTTGTCAATAAAATGGGTATAAAAATAGTACCTTACGCCATAAGACTGCTGTGAGGATGAAGAGGGATAACGTATTCAGAGCATACAGAACCTTGTCTGACACACAGCAGACAATAAATGTTAAGGCTTTTTTTTTTTTTTTTTTTTTTACTAGTTAGTAGTATTTTCACAATTATTAAGAGTAATATCCTTTCGTTTCTCTGACCTGTTTCTTCTGTAACAAGGAGGTAAAAAAATCAGCTACCCCCACAGACTTTGTGAAAATATGAAGTCACACATACACCACCTAGCACAGTTCAGGGCACAAAAACCACAGTAAACACACACGTTTATTTCCTTCCTTCTTAACCCTAGGTCTGAAATAAGAGAGAATAAAGAATTCAGTCTCTTTTCCATTTGACAGTCCTTCAAATACTGGAGGACACGTATGATAATCCCCTGACAGCTGAAGAGTCACAGTTTCTTCAGCATTCCTTGTGTGGTGGTTATTTCGTGTGTCCTCAGAATCCTGGTGATGTCCCAGGTACAATCTGATCGGTCAGAAGCCCTACCTCTGCAGGGTCTGAATTCCCACAGGCCATGGGAATTGCCGAACCATTGAGCTGTTTCTCAAAGACAACTGCTAGTCCAGGCAACGGAGGGCCGACAGTGCCGGACACATGGGCAGACTTTCCTAGAGGCCTGAGCTACGTCATCTTAACCCATTTTTCAATCAAGTCTCTAGGTTCTGTGCCAAGCCGCAAGTCTTCCTCTTGAAACTCGATGGTCAAATGTTTACATATCTCACTGCGTATTCAAATAAATAATCCATTCTCATTTATTCAGTCTTGGCACATTAGACTTTTTTTAACCCATAAAAAAATAATATGACAGTATTATTGCTTCCACTATGGAATCCTCTCCCGGCCATATGTTATTTTTTTCCAATAACAAATTCATACAGCCTTGCAAGTTGCATTGCTAGAGCTTCAGAAAAGCTGTGATCATGTGGTTTGTTATGACGTGGGTTACTTTTTTAAGGCCATGTATGCAGCAAAAGCCTCATGTACACAATTAGCCTAATAATTCAGTGTCAGAATAGAATATAACCCTTACA